GCTCCTTGCGACTTGTATTCCCTGTATCTGCAAGCACGTGCTGTCAAATGATCTTGAAAATCATTTCCTTCCACATCTTCAAACCATCCCAGAAGACCCACATTTACCAGAAAGAAATCAGCTGGTTAGTGGGATTTTAGGCTGGACAATTATGGGGTCCATTTACCTGCCTGCAGGTAATTGCTGTAGCCGTGCGACCGCTTCTGCAGCTGACATTCAAAGCACTCGTTCCGTCAGTATAACCCCCCTCGGGAGAAAACCCTCCTTAACTCTATTAATAGTGTGCATGTGTGCGCACTAAGTATCTGTAGCTGCTGAAGAGCTACAAGAATGTGGCGTGTTGGCTGGGGAGAGTCTGATCCAAGTAGGTTGCAAATGTCTGGTGTCCCATGAGAAAACAAGAAAGGCTTCTCAACCAAGTCCCAAAACCGATGTTTTACTGCATAGTCTCAGCAATGAGGGCGGGCGAGAGGGCTGGAAGATGAAATAGTTAATCGAGCAATAGCTCTGCAGAAGCTGTTGGTGGAGAAGGAGGCAGCAGCTCGACCCATCTCTCCTCATGTGTCTCCCACTGCTATCAGATATCACCTCCCTTAAGCTCGTGCCCAGAGCAAGGAGACAAAAATTGCTATGGACAGAAGTACCCTGCAGACAAGGTCCTCTGCTGCAAAGCTGCTAGCGTCTTGCATGGTGGAAACCTCTTTTAAATGACAACAGAACACTAATGTTGTGGAAAGATCTTGTTGTATATAGTTTTCAGGATTAGGGGGTAGGAGAAAACAGAAGTACAGCCTGCCTTGACAAATATTGTCAGACATTTAAGTGCTCTATCTTCCAGTGCTGATTTGTGCAAACACTTCCAGGGCATCAGAGAACGTTGTCATTGATAAATACTAACCACGGGAAACGGCTGTTTCAAAGACCTGGCTGATGGTATGGCCAACAACAACATGATCATGTAATGCGTGGCCACAAAAAAAGTTAATAAGCATTTGCATCCTACAGCATTAACCATCGCTCCCAGTCATCAAACAATAAAACCCCAGTGAATAACTCTGCAATGGTACAGGCAGGATTATTAAAGGATTATTTGAGAAAGAGCAAGGAGAAGGTAGTATGTCATCAGAATTTGGGATCACTGCTTTGTTTTACTGTTGAAAACTCTATGTACTTTGAGATCTCAAACCCCAAAACAAAGCTTAATCTTCACTTAGGCACTACAATTCCCTCCCTTATCGCATTATCTGAGTACATCACACTCTAATTATAGTTATCTGAACAACACTTAGTGAGATTGGGAAGCGCTAACCTCGTCGGAGAAGCCCTTGAACACAGAGTAAAACCAAGTCAGAAACAATTTTTAGTTTTTAAATGCCAGCTAAGTACGCTGCAACCAGTGGAAAAAAAATGTTCTTACACCATCAGCAACACTTCAGAAAATTTGCCTCTTCATTATCATTAACCCAGATCCTGAAGTCCTGGCTCAAAATTCAGAACAAAGTTATTATTATGAGGAAAAAATGCATTATAATATTTGTGTTTCTAAAAGCATCATTTAAAACATATCAGTAATCATTCAAAGAAAGGAGTAATACTTACAGCATCTCAGTGGGATATTACATCTTACTCTCAAGAGGTATCCAGAAGTGCTTCTCAATATTTTAGTATCTGTTAGGCAGTGATTGCAGTTTATTTATCTCTCTCTAGTGGGTACAGAAGTAGAAGTTAAATATTCCATCTTCCTCTCCAAAGCGTATAAGGGACTGTATCCTCATACTCAAGAAAAGAAGAAGATCTCTCTGCCATGTCACATCCTGGTGTGGAAAACAGGCCGTGTGTGCCTTACTGAGCGTGGACCAGCGGCCACGTTTGTCTGCACATTTCTTCAAGGCATCCTCTGTGAAGCCTTTGAGAAGAGCTTCAAGGAGTTCAGGCCTTGTGCAGATGCTGTAGAATAGTTGTTACTGAATTTAATTGAGGTGTTTCTTTTTCTGCCACCTCTTCTGTTTCATGGCTTTTATTCTTTTGCATTGCTTTTACATGCTAGGGCACGGAGCCAGATATTTCATCAAATCTCAGTTCTGTTTTGGTTTTATTTTTTTGTGTTTAAGTATAAGTCAGACTCTGCTGTTGTGCTTTTAAAGCTGACCACTGCTTCAGTAGCTTCCACCCACCTAGTTTTAATTTTTCCCAAATCTGAGTTTCAAAGTCCATCATTATGAAAAAAGGTAGTTACATTTCCTAGCAAAATTTTGTTTCTGATACTCTGTTTTAAATTAAAAGATTTAATTCTGATTAAAAGAGCCCTCAGTACCCTGTAGGTCACCAGAGTTCTTGATAGCAACTTCAAGCCTCATTGAGAGTTTAATAGGCTGCTGCTGAGTTATATGACACCTGTTAAGTTTATGGAAAAAATTCATCCAGTCTGCTGCTGTTACTAGCTGGCAAATACCAGAGACGCTAGAGAGGACCCTGAACCAATATCTATGATCTGAACTACAGCAAAAATATTGGGAAGAACATTTTGGATTCCCAGGCTTTGATACAGGTCCAAATTTCAGAGTCATTTGCTATTTCTATAAAAGGTTGGCCAGAATGACCAATCTCAGTATTCCTAAAAACCGGAAATAGAAAGGAACTCTCTCTAGCTAATCTAGAATTTTCTGTTTGGGGCTAATTATCCTCTTTTTTCACCTCTGTCAGACTTGCTAATACTCTCTCATGTGAAAGGCTCCAGATAGAAGCACCAGGAAATGAAGGTCTCCAACCATAAAAGAGGAAAAGCTCAGACACTGCTAATGCCAACCCGTCCTGTCCTGCTGATGCATTTCAGTCCTGCGGTGGAAGGGATGGCTGCGTGGCCTCCGTGTAAGAGAAAGTTCTGCTGAGGGGCCCATTTCATACAAGTTTCATAACGTAAGGCCATTTTGAGAGGCCAAAACCCTCCATCAGTCCATCAGTGCTGCAAAGACAAGAGGCTTGGGGAACATTTCAGTCTTGCAGACTTCTTGTCTCTTAACTGACTTTCTGGAAGTGGGGCATTTATTTGGGCTGTCGCCCATGTCCATGCTCTGTGAACATGCAAGTTCACAAAGCAGCCTTCGGTGGACAGAGCTCTCTCCTTCATGCACCTGCCTGCTTGCACAGAAGTTGTGGGAACCCAGTTACCTGTGATACTTCTGCTTTTGTATCAGCTCTGGATAAATTCAACCAACTACCTTAAAAGTTATTGGAGAAGTACGTACAGACTGAGACATGGCCTCACCTATACACACACAAGCACAGAGTCATTGAAAAGCCTATTTCCACAGGAAATTAGGGTGAGAAGATTATTTAGATTTTTTTCTTAATGAATAAAAGAGGCTAAAAATCATACTCTGAATGTATTTCCTCTAAATTGGCACACCATAACGAAGAGACTCAAAGAAATGACCATCCAGTCTCAGAGGCCCTGTTATGCTGGGAGTGATTTAGTTTCATTGCGTGAACTGCCGTAACAATAAGCACTGGCATCTTTAAAATCTGAATTTTGGATTGCCTGACTGGAGGGCCACCAGGAGCAACAAACCAGCTGATGGCAAACAGAGGGATGCACGGGCAAACATGCTTAGCAGGAGCAGTCCCAGCTGAAGTGCTCCCGTCCCCCTGGCAGGCAGGACAGGTGTGTCACTTCCAGACGTGACGTGAGCCACTTACTTCTCGTTCACAGCCCTTGAAGTGCTGTGCAGAGAAAGCCTGAGCCATTACCGCAATTAGAGTAGATACATCATTTACTGGAAGAATTAAATGCACTGTAGTAGCAAACCTGCAGTTGACACTCACAGGGTGCAATTGAAATCCTCCGGATTAGTAATTCTTTTGAGATATTTGTAATCATTGGTAATAGGTAGTGAAATAAATCCACATTTATATCCTACAGACTGCAGCTGTGCTTCTGTTAAAGTAGTATTAAGTGATGGGTTTTAAATCCTTCTGCCAGCTCAAGCTGTAAGCATCGAAACTCCTGTGCAGAGGATAACTCATCCTGGGTGATATATGTTCCTGAGCACGAAAGCGCTGGTTAATGAATAATGAAAGCACCAAGGCAGAATCACACCCGGGGCTTCGCTCCCGCAGCAAGCTCTCTGGGGAGAGGTCCCCGTGCAGCTCGCTGTGCAACAGTGGTCTCAGCTACCCGACTGCAGCTAAGACTGGATGTCGCTTTGGATAACCGTGATAGAAAAGAACACAAAATACTAATGTAAAGCCTTACCCAGATGGACAAAGTGCTGAACCTCATCTTGTTCAGTCGAGCGAGGGGTTCATCCAGCCAACTCTGGTGGTGTTCCTTCAGGTATCAGGAGTGCACACTCGCGCCCTGACTTACTGCACAGGCTCCCAGTTAACTAAACAAATATGCCATTAAAAGCTGAACCAGCCTTGAGGAGGGCATCTAGGTTTAAATTGCAGCAGGAAGAGATTTATGGACTTGTTTTCCAAGCCTAGAGAGTAAGTGAAGAGGCCTCAGACAGCTCAACATTTACCAGCTCTGATAAGGGAAACCAGCACTTCACTGGGGACGAGACAGGAGGGGTGATGGGCGCTGGGTGGGCACTCAGCTTTGCTGTGGAGCCCCAGCCATGGGGCAGGGACCCAGACTGACAGTCACTCTAGGAACAAAAAGAAACTTTGCAAACTCGGTATGCTTGTAAGATAAGCACGGCGCTGATAAAGTAAAGCACAGAGAGATTAAAAAACTCAGGAGAACAATATTAGTGGCAGACTGAAGAACAGAGCCCAGGAATCCTGGCTCTCCCTTCCTTCAGCTCGGCTTCAGCCCAATCTGCCCAAAACTCATGACCTTAGAGGTGGTTTCTTGATGGCATAAAAAAAATCAGTGACCAGCCCTACAGGAGAATAATTTACTTATACAGCCTGGGAGGAAAAGGAAATAGAGCTGGCAGAAGTGCATTTACCTGGTTCTATTCCTTATGTGTTATGTTGGCTTTGTTTTCATTTAGGAATCTACAAAGGACATTGCTTCCGAATCAACCACTTCCCTGAAGACAATGACTATGACCATGACAGCTCAGAATACCTTCTCCGTAAGTGAAAAGTAATACTTAATACACAGGATCTGACATGGCCAGAGAGGCTTTCCTGGGTTTCTCTTCTGTAGAGTGCAACCCAAGTCTTACTCATTGCAAGAGACTGGCCCAAACTGGGTGGCACAGAGCAGTGGTGACGTATGTCCAGTTCATGCTGCAGCTGACGCAACCATGACCCTTGGGGATGCCCATTTCCTTCAGCCAGAGGAACGCTCGTCATTGTGGTGCCCATTCTCTAAACATTATGTGGAAAATTTTCAAATGAAAACTACAGCTATCATTCCCAGATTGGCCAGGATATTTTACAGAGGGAATATTTATCTGATTAGTGTATCAAAACAGGTTTGAGGAGTGGGTTCCAGCCCATTAGGAAGCTTTTCCTAATGCTCAGACTCAACCCTTATGCAAGCCTCGTCCTCTGCAGCTGCTGAGCCACCTCCCCCTGCAGTGAAATTACTGCATTGTAGGAAGGAAGCTGAAATTTCTGCAGCTAACAGCAAAATCTCAGCATGAGCATGGACTGTGGCTTCCGTGCATGGACAGCTAGCCACCGCTGCTCTGTGCTGGTGTGTAATCCACCACAGAAGTAATTTCATCCACCAACCTGGTGCTTGAAATAAGGGCGATCGTTTCATCTCCCCCATTCGCTCAGCTGATAGGAAGTCTGGGAACCCGAGTGTGAAACTTCATGAATCCTGCAAAGTTTGAGTTAGATTTCCCCTTCCCAGGAGGACGCCTTGCCTAGTCGTTCCTTTTGAACAAAAGAGCTGACCAGCCAAGCTGAAAGCAATGCCCTTCACCAGAGAAAGAAACCGCAGTTCACAAGGTGTTGGGAAAGCTTCAGGGAGCAATGAATGACGCTGCTGGCTGATACACCCGGCAAGGCAAAACACTCCTCAATTACACTGCTATTAATTACCTGAAACACCACTTAGAGAACCACTCTGCCCTTCTGCTCACTTCTGGGAAACAACTTCTGGTTGCTAAGACAAGAAGAACGAATAAAAATCTCTGAAAAGTATGCTTTACCAGAAAACCCAGATTTTTTTCACCTTTACTCTTGCCAATTTAGATCAGCCATAGCGCTTGGGTGACATGATCTCAGTGCTCAGGCGGACTAGCAGAGTGTGAGCACAGCTGCATTGATCTTTCATACAAAGCCTTGGAACCAACGTTAAATTGATGCCAAGTCAGCTTTAGGAAACATCATTAGTAGAAGGACTGTAAAGGAAAGAGGAATTAAGTAGCATCTTGATAAAAGTGCATTATGCCTTCTTCATTTGGAGAAAAGGGAGAACTGGGAAAAACAGTCTACAGCTCCGCAGTAAGAGATGAGATTGGCAAACTGTTTGTAAGTGTACTTGTGACGGGTGTTCCTAAAAGCTGTTTTCCAAAGTGACTAAGTACAGACCTTAAAAACAAGTTGGTTCAACCTTTTGTCTTCTGCAAGATCAGGCTTCGGCTGCTCCCTCCTGCGGAGGAGAGCTCATCCTCGCGTAGTCTGCACAGATAACAGGACTCCTCTGCTTTAACTTTTGTAAGAAAAACTGCAGCTCCGCTTAAAATGTGTGTGGTTGATTTAGAGATTACTGAAAGGTTATGTATCTAAATCCAGAAGAGATGAGCTCATACGTATTTGTAATAGGAACCTAATCATTGTCTAACCAGACACAGACAAGAGGACATTTGCATCCTGTTTGAAAGGAGACATGAGACCTCCCGTCCCCCATCTTTGCCCTCTGTGCAACACCTTTGCAATCTGCTGTCTCCTCATCAGTCACCGCGCTTTGTAGCCGTTTCTTGGCACAAGTCTCTTGGAGGGCCACGTTGAGGGTAACAAAGGCACCAAGGCTTTGTGCATCTTGTGCTCCTGAAAGAGCAGCATGAGGAGTCTCACCCTGCTCCACAGTCACCAATCTAATACAGGCTTCAGATAAATGTCAACATTATGGTGCTAGCCATATCGAGCCCTGGTACAAAACCCTATTGATATCAGTGAAAAAATGACTGATTTTAGGAGACTTTGGTCTGGGGTGTGGGTAGGAGCAGGAGTTTGGATTTTGCCCTTCGGCATTCAGGCCGCTCCCTGCAAAACCAAGCAAACAAGAGCCACAGTGACAACTAACACGTGCAAAGGAGCTCAGACAAGACCCCTCCTATTCAACCTCCCCTGTGACAACACACGCCAACCTGTATGTCTAAAAAAATCCCCTTTACTTGTCTGTGCAGAGCCCCAGCAAGTGCCAGAGGTATCGCTGCCGTGCACAGAAAGCCCATGCAGTCCCCGGGGCTGCTGCTTGCATCGCCCAACCACAGCATGTGTGCTCCAGCTTCCCTCCTCTCCTGCATTTCTGCAGGCACACAGAAACCAAGCTGCTCCGATTCTGCATTGCACGGAGCACGTGCACCCCTCCCTTTGCAGAAGAGGGGATTTCAGCCGTACTCATCCTCACGGCACGTGTGAGGATGTCAGGGCTCTGCTGAGGTGCAAAAGTGCAGCCATGAGGAGGCAGACTGGGGACCCCATTTCAGGGGCATGTCTACACTTTCATGCACCTCTTCCCCGCATGCTATAGCATCCTCTTTTTAAAGCCATTTGCTTGGCTCCTGCCTTTCAGAGGAGAATAAAAGCAGGAGCAGAGCACCAGGGCTCGCAGCCCCGTGGGGATGAGCAGCACGGCGCGCTGCGGTGCTTCACCGAAGGAGGTGTCACAACGCATAGCAGTGCAGAACAGCCAATGCAAACAGACAAGGCAGTAAACAAGAAAAAAAAAGCAGGGGAGAAAGCAAAAACCAGATTGCCTTAATATTTTTTGATGTGCTGTCATTTTATTATCAGTATCAGGAGACATACGTAAATTCTACGTGGTACCTATGAGCTTCCTTTTAAATTTCAGAGCTAAAAGTACACATTGTAGGAAAAAATATACTGTAGAGTTTTACAGGAAGAGAACACTGTGTGTTTTGTTTCTCTTCACGTTAATTACCTGCTATAGAACAATTATCTCTGGAGATTATTGCTACAAGTAGAACAACCCACCCCCTATATTTGACATGTTGGGCAAATTCCTTCTGATGATATCACTGAAGCATTTTAGGAAAGCTCTTTGATTTAATTGAAATCATTATAAACAGCATGAACGTAAAACATAGAAAACAACAACCAGAAAGGGTGGGCCACAGTAGATTTTAAGCCCAGGCTGCCTCTTGTCAGGACACTAACAGACAGACGGTGATTTGGGGTGCCTTCGTGTCCAGCAGCGCAGAGCCTGACATTGAATATTTTTCTAATAATTGACTTTAAAAAACTGACCCAAAAGTCAAAGCCCTGTTACCTCATACCAGACACGTGGGGGTACACCCAGGACAACAGAACGGGCTCTCAGCACTCAACAGGCTTCGATTAGAGACCTTACACCCTCATTACTGGGATTCGCCAATTATTGCAAGACACTGTCGGAATAGTAATGCATCCGACTGAATTGGGTTTAGATCTGGTTAGAAAATGCCCCGTCTGTAAAGGACACGTGCAGCGATGTTGCCAGTTCTGGTAGGAGACGGACTTCTCTCGCTGTTGCAGATCGATATAGGCATAAGCTTCCCAGGCAGGGACTGTCTTTTTTGTTTTATGTTTGCACCATCCTAATGAGGGCTGGGCCCGTTACTGGGGCTCTCGGGGGCTTCGCAGCGCACACAAAAGCAATGCTGTTACTGAACGCCCAGCCCTGTCCCTCTTGCAGTCAGTGGGAGTTTTGCCACCGGTTACCAGGGGAATCGTTAGGAAGCAATTCACAAAATTGGGAACGCCACGGCCATCAAAAGTAAAATGAGAAAGCATCAGCTGTAACATCTGGCCGTTTCTCCTCGGGAAACGGGCGCCACTCGCTGTGCATGTCATCCAGGAAGATGACACCCGGGAGAGACCGCATCGCTAATGGCACCGCATCAGCAGATTGGTCCAGATGGCGGTTTTTCTCCTCTCCATGCACTCAGCCCCGGGGGTCCCTGTGTCCTCCCGGTACGCTGTGGGGTTTCCACCCCTCTGTGACAGCGGCCTCTGACCCCCACCCACCTTGGCCATCCCCATGCCCCGGCACCCACTCACCCTGCTGGGACTCCCCTCCGCGCCTTTGCCTTTCCATGGCCCCCAGCTTTGGGGCAATCCTGTTTTCCGCAGCAGTATTCAGCACCTTATCTCCCCTTCTTCAAAAAAATCCTCTCTCTATAACGATATAACTTAGTTCCTCGCTCTGCCTTTCAGGAACGCCTGCCAGGTTTTACCCCTTTGGTTTTTACAATACAGACTTCCTTTTCTTGTGCCTGTTTATTTTTTCTTGGCCCTTTTGTTCCCTCCCTGCCGCTTCCCTTTCGATTGCAGCTTAGTCTTGTAGTGACCCGACTTTGAAAGCCGGCCCGAAGTGGTGTTTTAATTTTTTTTTTTTCAGGGATTTTATAGCCCATGCTGGCGAATGGACTGAAGCATGCAGAATTTTAAATGACTCTACTAAGCTGTCAGGAAACTAAACACAAACATCTGAGACACACTTGTTAAAATTTCTTCCTTAGAAATCTGAAAGGTTTCACTGTCCTTAATATTCAACAAAAGAAAAAGGGGTTATTAGCTGTGCTCGCTGGCAACATGAATGCTGCAGACTTCAAGAGCTGTAATTTGCTCACCTTGCGCATGAATCAAGGAACAGATCCGTCTGCTCAAGCCATCCCCAAACGTTGTAGGCTTCATAGCCAGCTCATGAATTTTTCACTGCCGCTGCCTGCGTGACGCTGGGTCTTACTGCCACTTACCTTATGCTTTGCCAGAAATGTTCTGTAGGCGGTGGCATCAGATGACGGCGATAATGCTGAACTTTCTAGAGGAAGCTCAAAAGATTTAAGCTACTCAGTTGGGTGTCTGTGCCCCACTGGCCACCTACCTATGGCCTCGCCTCCCAAAAATGTGCCCAGAAATGCAGAATCAGTGATAATTCCAGCAAAAGCCAGGGGTTTTGAGACTCTGTGACCTCCACACTTGCACCCGAGGAGGCATCTGAAATGATTACTGTCTGTCTTGGTTTTCTACCTGTTTCCCCTCCAGGCATTGTCCGTGCCTCCAGTGTGTTCCCCATCCTAAGCACAATATTGCTGTTGCTGGGAGGACTCTGTGTCGGAGCAGGAAGGATTTACAACAGCAAAAACAACATTATTCTCAGCGCTGGGATTCTCTTTGTTGCAGCAGGTATGCTCTCCTTAAATTGAGTCCTTAAGAAGTGCTGCCTTTTTAAACTGAAAATGACTGTGGAAAAGCTTGTTGGCCGTTCTCTCCCTGTACCCCTTTCCTGGATCAAGGGCACTAGCAACATCACGCTAGGCAAAAGACAAAAATAGGTTTTTGAAGCTCTACAATAAGTATATTCTAGAAAAGCTTTTAGTTTTCCTGAAACAGGAAGCTAAAGTCAGTAACAAGCAGGTTTTAAACTATTTAAAATGTATTAAACATTAGGTGAATCAGATGTCTCTTACATTCAGTGCCTTTTCTTTTATATAATGGCAGAAAAAATTCACCTATGATAGGTGAGCCCGTTTTTCACACTAGAAACATCTGAGAGTCAGCCACGTTATTAATAGCTTTCCCTGAAGCTCGGATTAAGCATGCTGCATTTAGATGAAAATTCAGCAAGGTGGAAGAGAACTTATCTTGATCAAGGTGAACAAGCCATAGCCCTGAGCTCAAAATGTGTTTTTATTGTTATTCTGAATGTTAGAATCCCACTAACAACATTAGTGAGCTCCCATATGCTACTTCTTTCCCACCGTGGCAATGAAGAG